GGGGGGGGGGGGGGGGGGGGCAGTCCTTCACAGAGTACGGCAGGAATTTTCCCCTTTTTTCTGAAGTGAAGAAACTGAATCCTTCACGTTGCTTTGAAAGTGTTCTCACAATGATAGCATTTCATTTTTATGAAAGGGTTGCGGACAGAGTGCCAGATGTGATCGGTGCACATATAGAAATCTTAACCATGTTAAATACACCTTAATACAGTATTGTGCCTTGTATTAATAAGGAATGACAAAGACGGCTGTAATGTTAGCTGTGGTCGTGATTAGGGGCCCCATACTTGTAGGGAGACCCCTACTGTTTGACACTTGAAATGTTTCAGTTTTACTGCTACAACAGCATTTACAAAATTGGACGGTAGGAATAAACACAAGCCTTCAGGTCCAGAGGCCTGGAAGGCTTCCTTATTATTACACCGTATAATTATCTGCAGAAACAAGGAAAGACTTTATCAATGGATGTGTACTAGGGCTAATCCTGTGCCTTTCCAAAATGCAGAAGTAGACATCTGTGAGATTATTTAATGTCAGATAATCCATTTGTATTGTTCTCTGTCACATCAAATCAGGCTCTGTGCCAATACAATATTGAGGTGTGGTGTCTGCCAAGTCCTTCATGGAGTGATAGAAGGGTCTGTAAAGGCACAGGGACACGCAGGTATCGCAGTGCTTCACCTGGCTGTCTCCATGGCGATGGGTTGTCAGTCAGTCAGCCCGAGCGTTCTCACCCTTCCTCCTTTCGTTTCACTGGCTCCCTGTCGGCGCTCACATCAAATTCAAGTCCTTGGTGCTAATTCACAGATCCATCAATGGACAGGCACCCATCTCCATCATAAGGCTCCTCAAGCCCTACATCCCATCTCGCGCCCTTCTGCCAGCAACCTGCCACCGCTTGGAGCTCCATTCCACCACGTGAGGAGTGTCACTCCAGATGGTTCTCCTGTGTGGTCCTCCAATGGTGGAATGAGCTGCTTGAACCTTCAAGAAACACCACAAGACCCATCTGTTCCAGGAACACCCCATCTAGCCTGATGCCTCTTTACATTCTTTGAATGTTCTTATGTTGCACTTCTGGTCCTTGAATAGTCTTATTAGGATGTTGCTTTGTTGTTGTGTATCTCCTGCTCTGAAGCTGCTTACACTTGTACCTGGGCATTGATTGGAAGCTCCGCCTACCTGCACTAATGCCTGTTGACTCCTTGACAGCAGCTATCCTTGAACCATCTGCCTCACAAGTTGCATTGGACAAAAGCATCTGGTTAATATACAAAATGTGGTTTTTTTTTGTATGTGGGATAATCAATTCAGGAAATCGAACAGGTAAATTCTGGCTTCCAGTTGAGTGGAAATTTCTAGCTGGGAATATATTGTAGGTATGAGCAATGCTAACAACTCCACACACGAGGATGCAAAAAGCACATTAGTGCTTATGATTTACATTCTGCAGGAAGTCTGGGAATGAAATGGTGGGGGGGGGGGGGGGGGTGTCATCAGCCAGAGCTGCCGGTTCTCCTGTAGCTATGGAAAAGAGATGGTGAAGAATAAAAGGCTGTTGTTCTCATCCGTTAACATAAAAAGTCCACACCTTGTTCTCAGGTGAATAACAGGTAGTGTGGGTTGATGCAGCAGAGGAAGTGTGACTCTTTGATGAATTTGTGTTTTGATCTGCCTCAGGAGGTCCTGCTGACCTTCAGTGCCACATCACATTGCTCTGCGTCCCCCTGGGCTTCCATCTTTGCTGCTCCACAGATATTTCACACTTGAAGCAAACAAAACATCCTTTTCACTGAAAAAACACTCTTCTGTGCTCTTTATTCCAAGCTTGATTAAAATGTTAAATGCTGTGAATTTCTGAATATGTCAAATACTTTTTTTTTAACATCTGTTTGGGCTGGGATGTAGTTCTTGCTGAAAACTACTGTAAATTACCCCCGACCATATATACTCTGTCACAGTCCATCTTTAACTCTGTCATTTTTGTCTCTTCTTTATGGGCCAATGGAGTTTGCAGACGTTACTAGAACAGCCCCTTAAAGCACCACCGTAGGGCCGAGCTGTCGGTGGAATCAAGTTTATGGAGGAATAATGAGAATTTTAAAGGAATCAAGCCCAACACTCTGGAGAATGTTGTAGCCAACACCAATCCATCCACCCATCTATCGATCATCTATCTATCAAAAATCACTTTTAAAAGATAATGTAAAAAAAAATCAGGAGAAACCCTTCAAAATTAATTTTAATATTGTTGTTGCATCAAATTTGTAGTTTTTTTATGTCTGAAGTTTTGGCACATTTCAGAGCCCGCGGTCCGGATCAGCCCGTAGAACCTGCAATGCCAGGTGAGCCCAGACACAGCGGAGACTCTGCAGCGAAATCAAGACCTGACTCGAAAGCTGCAGGGACAGACCGCAGGAAGACCACACCTCCGCCGGGAAGCGTGTGGGTTCCGTTCAGTATGAAATGGAACCACTGCACTCTGGTTGCGAGGGAGAATAAGCAATGGAACATGAACAAGTACTTCATAATAAAGGAGAATTAGTGCCCGGACCTCATCACCACCCCGGCTGCCCCTGGCATGCGTGCCCACGGCCGTCACCACACGTCTGCCATAGCTCAAGCCTGGCACCAGCAGGTGTGCACGCTACACCCTTCCTACTAGCCCCCAGGCACGCAAAAACAAAGAAAACCTTGTGTATGATTGTGTGCGAATGAGTATACATGTACATGCCCTGTGATGGACCGAGGTGTGTCCTGGTCTGGTGCACTATGCTGCCTGCGATTGGCTCCAGGCCTTACCACATGACACTGACCAGAATTTGCAGTTAAAAGATGGATGGAGAGATGGATGTATTGGTTAATGTGACCCGTGCCCATCTAGCAGAGTCAGTAAATTTGACACCACATAAAACATTTACTAAAGCTAATTAAGAGCCCAGCTGCCCTGTGAATTTATAGACTACTTCCTTCCGGTGACCTCTTCCACACATGTACTATAAATAACAGTGGCATGTCTGGGGAAGAGAGTGACCCAGATTTGTGTGTGGAGATTGAATCATGTCACCAGCGTTGTATTTGGGCTGGGGGGTCAGAGTCATGCTTCTCCAATTGATTATTTTATATCTAATTAGGGACGATGATGTAAGATTGTATATATACATGCTCATGGCCAACTTGGGTAATGGATTCTGTGATCGACAATTTTTTTCACCGCAAGCCTCCTGTCAACAAGTTTCACCGTATCATCCTTGTCAGCCCCCACCCCGTTTGACAACTTATACTATATCCCCCCTCCCCCCTGGGGGGTAGGGGGTTGTCTGACCATGTTAATGTGCCTCTGCAGAAAGGTGAATTTTTGGAGAACAGTGTTCAAGTAAATAGTTTGTCCTCACTTTTACTGGAGTGGAGCATGCATTTACATGGTTTGTCCTCCGGGGGAGCTATGACCAAGCTGCTCCGTTATTGGTTAGGAAGAGATGCTGATTTGCCTGCTGTTTACCTTAAGGGATTATTTCATACCCACAGGTGATACACAACCTTTGTTATACACAGTAGTGCCTCTATTCTTTCAAATGTGTGGGATTTGTTGCTAAAGACATCGGCCGTAAAGGTAACATTTACTGCATGTTTCCAGCACTAACAAGCAATAAACAAAGACACGGTTGTTTGCCTATTTTTAATGAATGCAGCTAAAGCTACTTAATATCCAGGCATTGTGAACAGCAAACTGCTGTATTCCAGTATTTATAGCTCTGTTCTCTTGTGTTTACAGTGCCCATACAGTATAGGAAAGTCCATTCCAGTGTGGGCAGGGCTGGGCCACAACTGGGAACTGGTTCCCAAGTGACAGGAATGCCTCAGAGACAAGAACCTTTTCTAATCTCTGCAGGTCAAATGAAAAAGAAATCAATTAACAAGATATAAATGTTCTCACATGCACAAAAAAAAATCCTGGAAGAAGGTACCAATTTCTACCTTTGAGGGTAAATGTGTTTGTCACTGGAGCTGTACCTTAGTAAATGTACCTTTTAAGGTATAGAAATGGACTTTGAAGAACGTTTTTTTTTCTGACAGTGTAGTAAAGAAGTAGTATTACTCTCATATAGTGATATCTTTAAATATATTTCATGATTAATATTTAATTAAATGTATATGTAAACATTCCTTTCAGCCTGGGTTCCAGTCTCCCTGTATTCAGAAAGACCCCCTGAGCCCTTCATGTATCTTTCTGGCTACAGCTCTTAGTGAAAGTGCATCCTTACCTATATGTACTTTTTACAATTGTCAAGCATCAGCACGCTTGTGGTTCCCCCGGATTCACATGACAGATGAGGGAAATCCATGGCGGATATGATAAGTTATCAGATGTTCCATGTTGTTTTTTTTTTTTTTTTTAAGAAATCCTGTAACACGAAAATATGTTTTCTCTCTATATATTAAAATATTTGCCAAAAAATGGCACTTTTCTCTCATAATACCAATGCAACCTGTAAGCACCACTGCACATACGTAATGACGAGGGATGAATTATTATTTACTGATTATGAATACACTAAGCATTTCCCTTTCATGACCTTCCACTACATTAGGGAGATCAGCAGTATTATATTGCACAGTCCGGTCGATAAAATAATGGCATATAACAAAATAATTATTAATTAAATAACCGTATAATTAAGTGCCTAAAAGAAACTGCTAAAATGAGACTTAACAGCTTTGTTGATCATTTGAATAGAATTTGAATTTAATATTTTTAGTTTGTTGTTGCTGGTGCTTGCGGATTCAAACAGGGCTAAATAAAAGTAGTGGAAAAAGTCAAGACAGATTTTCATTCAATAATGCTATGCTATGCTATGTCACTGGTACATTGGATGGTGGTAGATTTTAACTACTACCTACCACCCACCATTTTCACTGTGCGATTATCTCCGCGATTATTTAACTTATCAACCATGATTTTGACTTTAACTTCAAGAGATAGTCGTTTTAATGTTTTTGTGGATTTCTCTTTTGTTTCCGTGTTTTCCAACACATCGCAGTGCAACACATGACTAGTGTCTCGGAAATAAACATCGCTGTTTTCATTTAATTACCGGAGGTGCCGTAGCGACTGAATTGAACGCCTGTGCTCTGAAGCAGACGCTAACAGCCCCTTGGTGACAGAGGACTAAAATTCATTCGAAGAACAAAAGTCGGGAAATATTCAGAATCTAATTATCATCTATTGGAAAATTAACGGCCCATGGAAACTTAGAACTGACCCGAAGGCAACACGGTTTGATTAATAACATGCCGTGTATTACTGAAAGCACTGAAGCCTGTAGTGTGAGTGTCTGAATTGCCTGTGGGTGCTATTTCTTCTGTCTGTCAAAAGAATAATGTCCCGTTCCTGCAGCTATAAAAAGGGAAAAAAACAAATCAGGAGCGTAACTAAAGCCACCCTCTCAGAAGAGGCTGCTGCAGTTATAACCTTGAGTAATCTGCCATCTGGTGGACACTGAGAGCGTAGCAAGCCAATTCACTGTATTCAATCAAACCGACGACGGCCAGACTGTTTCCGGTGCTAACGCCACACCCTCGTAATCTGAAATGCAGTTGAATGGATGACAACCATCATCTGACCACTCGTCCTGGTCAAAGTCGCTGGGGGGCAGCATAGAGCGTAAAGCAGAGCGGAACCCAGCTAACTCAGTAATTGAGTTTGTTGTGGTCTCAGGTTGCCATCTATCGGTTATTTTCCCTTTTGAATTACAAGCGGGAAGATTTTTAAGAACTTTAAACAAGTTGAAGCTTTAATATTATGGAAACAACAACCCTAATAAGCAGGAAATACAATTATTGTATTATTCCTCTGGAGCGCTAATCTTGCTATAGCTAAATTAAATTAACTGGTAATTTGTTAACATGCAGCTTTACCTAAATTTTTTTATTCGTTGGTTGGCCTGGTACCTCAGTGGGTAGCCCTCTCCTCCCGGGCCGGGAGTTCACAGTTTACCTGCCAAGCTCTGTGTATGAGGAATGTCTCCCCTGGGGTGTGTGAATTCACTCTGAATATTACAATTTGCCCCCACAGTTCAAATACATAAACATAGGGGAATTAGCATACCTAAATATATATACATACTGTATATATACACATACACACAAGGGCATAATTTTGAGTTGAGCATAGAGGGGTTGAGGTCTCCAGAGGATCCAGGAGGTTGTATTGGCTGGTTTTGATTATTAGGGGGGTTACAACCCCCCCATAATTTACGCCTATGCATACACACTACACACACACACACATACACACATAGTGTGTCAGATTGTCCAATCTGCCATGGACTGGTTCCTTATCCAGGGTGGTACTGAAATGTTTTGATGTCACATGAATCTCAGTAATTTCTTATTCAGTTACTTAATACACTATATTGCCAAAAGTATTGGGACACCTGCCTTTACACATACATGAACTTTAATAACATCCCATTCTTAATACATAAACTTTAATATGGAGTTGGCCCACCCTTTGCAGGTATAACAGCTTCAACTCTTCTGGGAAGGCTGTCCACAAGGTTTAGGAGTGTGTTTATGGGAATTTTTGAACATTCTTCCTGGAGAGCATTTGTGAGGTCAGGCACTGATGTTGGACGAGAAGGCCTGGCTCACAGACTCCGCTCTAATTCATCCCGAAGGTGTGCTCTCGGGTTGAGGACAGGGCTCTGTGCAGGCCAGTCAGGTTCCTCCACACCAGAGTCGCTCACCCATGTCCTTATGGACCTTGCTTTGTGCACTGGTGCACAGTCATGTTGGAACAGGAAGGGTCCATCCCCAAACTGTTCCCACAAAGTTGGGAGCATGAAATTGTCCAAAATGGCTCTCAGTGCTGCAGTTCCTTTCATTGGAACTAAGGGGCCAAGCCCAACCCCTGAAAAACAATCCCACACCATAATCCCCCCCCACCAAACTACACTTGGCACAATGCAGTCAGGCAAGTACCGTTCTCCTGGCAACCGCCAAACCCAGACTCGTCCATCGTACTGCCAGACAGAGAAGCGTGATTCGTCACTGCAGAGAACACGTCTCCACTGCTCTAGAGTCCAGTGGCAGTGTGCTTTACACCACTGCATCTGATGCTTTGCATTGCACTTAGTGATGTAAGGCTTGGATGCAGTTGTTTGGCCATGAAAACCCATTCCATGAAGTTCCCTAACCACTGTTCCTGAGCTAGGCCACACGAATATAATATTTTTTATAAATAACAGATATTATTTGTGTTATGACTCCCACTATAATGAGATTATGTAGATAAAAATGACAGATATAAAAGTAGCACCACGAGGTTGTATACATGACATTGCCTTAATCGTCGCGAATGTTGCGCGTCCATGCGAGATTTGCAATCGCAGGGGAGGAGGGGGTCTCGACTTGGGTGGGGGGGGGGCACAGGCCCGGGGCGTTCGCCCTGGCTGCCACGCCTACCAGTCTGCCCCTGCTTCCAGTCAAGGTGTTTAGGGTATGTCTACACGTCTGCTGTATTTAAAAATAAACCTGTAAGATAAGCAACTACAGCCACATGCACGTCGCCGCAGCCAGGAGCCGAATGTCAAGCGGGAGGGGTTTCTAACCGTTATCATCTAATACCCCAACTCTATCTAAAAGCCCCTCCTACCCTCGGGATAACCCCCCACCCCCCTCGACATTGCCCCTCCCACTCTACCCTTGGCTCCAGGCTGCAGCGATATACGCTTGACTTCAGCGCTGTTTAAAATGTATGTTGAGATAATTCTTTTATGAATATTCAGCGGGACATAGATAAATCTGTTTCTCCCTGTTTATGTAATAAAATGTGGGTTTTATTTTTTTTAAAAGAACTGCTTATGGTTTTGTTTAGCTACTGGATTTCACAATGCACCCATTAATGCTACAAAAAAAACTTTATACAAACAATTAAGGATGAATCAATTACAGTTGTCAACAGAATAGCGTGGGAGCGCGTCCCTTTAGGTAGAGCTACTCCTGACTGCTGTACTTCCACAGGGAAGGGTGGCTTAGCAGCTTATAAATCAGAAAGTACACGTAATCATTCAGAAAGGCAGATTTACAAACACAAAAGAAGCGTCGGTCAATAAATGTGTTACACGCTGAAGACATTTTAATAACAAGCGTGCTGATCAGCTTGATACCGCCAGTGTAGTTCAACCCAACTCCAGGGCTCGGAACCCGTGAGTTACGTAACCCGGGGCTGGGAGGGGGCTCCCGGAGCCAGTGATCGCGCAGAGGAAGAGCTGCCGCCTACCTTTCCTCTTGGGGAAGTGGAAGTCATTGGCCCCACCGGCCGCCGAGCGGAGACTTGCGCAGCAGCTCGCAGACGCCGACAAAAGGCACCGCGGCCGCTGGCGTCTGGCTCTTTGGTGGTAGTCGGAAGCAGGAGTCTGCTTTGGTCGGATTTTGACTACGAAAATAAGAGAAAAAAAATCTTATTACGCCTTATTAACAGATCTGCTTATTGTAAGCCCACAGGTAAGTCAGTCTGTTACGCCTGTAAACGTATTTGAAGTTGAAAGTGGATGTTGCTACATTTGTTGCGACTAATAAAAACGGAAACATTTACGATCGGAAATCGCAAAGGAAAAGCCTTAATTATATAGCAATATTATCGCGGTATCGCATGGAACAGAAAGTGCTGGCTGGCACGGTGAACACGGTGTGTGGAGCCGGGATCTGGACGGTGCGTCGGGCGCCTGTTTTATCCAGAATCCTCCGGTTAACCAGCTTTTTAGAAGCTGATCTCGGAGTAAAACGCACTTCCACGGTCATCGCGCTTTTTATTCGACTTCGCGGGGGGTTTCAGAAATCGAAGTCTGTCGTGGTCAGTGCGGTGCCCTAGCCGGTGGATTTATTATTAGCTGTATAGGTATTCGGTTTCTACCCTCCAGATAACTGCTACGATCTGGGATTGCTGGGTAGCCGTTGCTGTGCTTGGGGGATACAGTCTGCTGGAGCAGTGGATCGTTTTCGCCTGAAATCAGAGTCCGGGGTGCTTTGCGGTCACATCTCCTCGTCTGCGGACTGTCAGGTTTCACGCAGCGGAGGAATGACCCGCAGCATGGATCTGCGGAAAGCATGGCCGCTGGCGGCTCTGTTGACCTTTTCGAAAGCGTGCCTAGTCGTCCGGATACGGCTGGTATATTCCAGTCTGGCTGGAATTTTTAAAACTAACCCGCCGCTTTGAAATGTATAGGAACTGGCTTTATATGGTTCGTGTGCTTTTGGGGGGAGGTGTCCGGCTTGTTAGGCGTGCCTTATGTTCGCGCAGGAGGCGTGTAGAGCGTTTTTATTGACTGATCAGCTTTAACAAGCATGCCATATGAAATGAGTTGCATTACATGTTAGAAGTATCATTTACATAAGTCTGTATAGTTAGTAATTCCTCGTGCACCCGGGATGCACATGTGTCGTGTAGCTTTTGGTGATTTTATATACTGGGGGGTTGTGGTGTCAACGGTGTGCTCATTGATTTAATTTCTCAAACCACTTTTTGACCTGTCCGCTCCTCATCATGTCCAGGTGATTAAGCGACCCATTTTCTTTGTGTGATTTGTTGGCTTCCTTCTGGGAAATATCAGAGATTAATTGCCTTCTTTAAATGTCCTAAATAACTGCGATTAACCTAATTCACAAGTCGCCTTAGCGGAGAGTCAGCCGAAGCCGTACCTTTCCATGTGTAATGTTACTGGAAGTGGACGGTTTGAAGGTGATTATGGTAAGAGATAAGAGTTAAGCAACGTAACACGTCACACCTGTGCAAATGTGGAAAAGTCACACCATCACAAGGCAGCTGTACTTGATATGTTTCCCCACTGGACTGAGAGTGTAGCCTCTTTGAAGGCCTTCTGTGCATCAAAGGTAAAACTGACCTCAAGCTGGTAGGTTTTCCTCTGAGTTTTCTGCTAGTTAAATGAATGTGTTTGGCAATATAGCTCAGACTCAGACCGTACACCAGTTACAATCATCTCTTCTGACCTCTCTGATCCTTACTAGAGATGACCTAATGCAGTGGTGTCAAACTGCAGTCCTGGGGGGCCGTAGTCCTGTGTAGCTTAGTTCTTTCCCTGTTCCACCATAAATGATTCAGCTCAAGAGCTGTGTGGTAATTAGCACAAGGAGTTGAATCAGGTGCGTTAAATGAGGGGAAACCCAAAAATGTGCAGGGCTTCGGCCCCCCAGGGCTGGAGTCTGATGCCCGTGACCTAAAGGGTGAAAGGTCAGGGCCCCTGTGGGATTGTTTGTCTGCTGGGCAGAATGTCTTCAAACTGGAGGCTGAATGTACACAAAGACTAGGCTGGTGACTTGTAACTGTTAATTCCACCTATGGTTAATATATACGCTAGAGCAGTGTTTCTCAAACCAGTCCCTAGACAGTCCACATTTTTGCTTCCTCCCAACTCCCAGAGCAAAAATGAAGAGAACATCAGGAGAAATGAGAGAACATCCAGTGAATATATTGCCAAATGAGAGTGACAAGTTTACTAAAGACTAGTATAGTCAGTATAGTCAGGGACACTTTTCTGTGCTTGCACATGTCTCCCTGGGTTTATTGTGGTGCTGGTGTGTAATTTACACCTTTCCTTGTGCTCCTGCTCGCCCAGTAGCCATGGCCCGCGGGCACCAGAAGATTCAGTCCCAGCAGAAGAACGCCAAGAAACAGGCTGAGGCCAAGAAGAGCAAAGGTCACGACCAGAAAGCGGCAGCCAAGGTGGCCCTGGTGTACACCTGCGCCGTGTGTCGGGTGAGGCGCCCCATCCCAGCCACCTCCACCAGAAACAGCCACTCTACCATCCTGGATAAGCGTGTTCTTCTAGATGCTTTTTTGAGATGACTTTGGTGTCTGGGTGCTGTAGTGGTGATTTCGCAGAATAACCAATAACAGCGTTGATGCGTGAAATACAGCAAACAAAACCCATAATTTATGCGCTAAGAGCTTTTGAAATTAGACCAACCTCAGCTGAGCTCTTTCTCCTCCCACCAGACACAAATGCCTGATCCAAAGACCTTCAAGCAGCACTTTGAAAGCAAGCACCCAAAGTCCCCCTTGCCCCCAGAACTTGTGGGTGTGGAGGCGTGAGAGGGTGGCTGTGCCGGGATGTCATCACAGGGGCCATGGGCTGCCTGTCCTTATCCTCCAGGTGTCGGTGGCACCTCCAGCCATCCAGGACCCCTGCAGTCCATGAACCAGCCTGGTGACGACCATCTTGTCTCACTACTGTATGACTATACAATCAGATCGTTGCTTGAAAATGATCTCCACCTATTGTCCACAGTCCAGTGCAAAAAATAACAAATGTTAAGGGAAAATTAGCTGTCTTAAAAAGTTAGTTTCCATTAAAGCGCTCTTTGTTTCTTTGCAGTCAAGGGGGTATTTCAGGACATTTGAATGGTGCATTTCAGTACAGAAGGCTTCCTAAATTGTCGGGTATTCTGATACAGGAGTTCTGTATAGCAGTTCTTGGTTCGCGTTTTAGTTCTTTTCCCTCTCGGCTTAAAGGTTCTGCTTTTTTCTGCTGTGGGGACTTTTTTTTTTTTTTAACGCTTTAACAAATGTCTGCTGTGTAGAATATTACACGCAAGTAAATGATCATGCCTTTAAAGTTGCAGCCCAAATCAGGAAGTTGGGTTGCGTAAAATTTGGGGTGCTACAGACCCCCCCCCCCCCCCCCCCCCCCCCTGTTAGTGTTCTCTGTTTGCTGTCCTGGCTTCTAAATAATTACTGTGATGTGTGCGTGCGCATCTGGTTTGGTAGAGCTGGCATTCTTTTTTTAATAGTTCAGTAGCTGTGATTATTTTATTATTTTGGTGGTAAGCTGCTAATATGAGTGATTGGGGTAAATTGAGAGGTTCCTGTCTCTAGCTGTGTGCATTTCTCTTCCACAATGAACCACTGGTATATGGCAACAATGCTCTCTCTCAGAAGACTGGTCTGTTTATTGCAAACCTTTTATACATTTGTATTTTTGCCCCAATGATGTAATATAACATTTTAATAAAATATTAATTTGATTTAATGGTCTGTTTCGTTCAGCAGGTTCAGGATTCCAAATTTTGACAACTAGCTTTCAAATTTTGCTTTCACTAATGAATTCATTTAATAGATAAAGCGTATGTTTTGTGCCATACTTTATGTGTTATGTATAACTTAAATCTACTCAGATAAAATGGCAGTTACCAAATACTCATAGAGGTTGGTGTGTGTGCGCCTGTATGTATTAAAAGGATGGGAAATAATCTTTTTAAAGCACAACCTTAATTTTGAAATCAACACATTATTTCTTTGATCAAATTAACTCATGCAGCATTTTGATATTCAAATGGGATGATAGTGTAAATGTAAAAGTTTTAATGTTAAGTGTGATTTTTCTGTAATTACCGGTAGTCACAATCAATATACTTCTTTTTAACAATTCACAGCACTAATATGTATATAATTTTTATTTATGTTGGACAGCTCCAGGTTTATTATGGACTTGTCTTGCTATAACCTCTGTCTCTGTAAAGCAGAGGAGCACATTTTACTGGGCCTAACATGCTGTTGGTGGCCCCCCCCCAGCCCCCTGTTTCATTATGGCACTGCTGACTGGTTGCGCAGCCTCGTTCCTCTGACGTCACCCCCCCAGCGTGGTGCCCAGTGAGAAGGCTCTGAAGCTAATGACAGGGCCCTCGCCCCCCCCCGTCTCTTGTCCCTCTTTCCCACCCTCCCCTACGCGCCCTGCTGTGTACGGGGCTGTTTGGTGTGTGTCGCCTCGCTGGCAGAGTGGAGGTTTTTGACAGGGACCAGCAGTACAGTTGAAGGGAACACCAACCCCCCCCCCCCACCTGGCCCCAAAAAAAACATAAACCTGATCCTGTCCTGATAAGCTGCTTTCACGAGCTGGTGTGTGTGTCTCCTCAATTAGCTTAAAAAAATCACAAATTATATGAACGAAAAAGAAGAAAGGTGGCTAAATGGATTTTCTTGGGGGGGGGGGGGCGGTGGCGTACAATTCAGAATCTGCATATTAGTGTAACTACGGTCTTGCCAACACTCTCTGGCATGCCTATTATTTATTAATGGGCTTAGTGTCTCACTGAGCCAACTTCCACTCTCCTACCATCAAACCAGTGTGTGTCACAGTGGTGGATCCAGGCACACTGAAGAGAACCAGATTTTAAGAAATAGTCTCATGTCTCTGCAGCTGCCATCCGACATTCCGAGGGCCTGGCAGCGCCATCCGGACAGATGGGCCTTGGAGAAGGTCCCCTGTGTAATGAGGGGACGTGTCTGTGAGCCTTCAGCTGACGTAGCTGAATTAACAGCTAGAGGACGCCTGGACAAGTCACAGCAGGTTAAACCGAGACAGTGAGAAGATGCAAATGGACTGACAGAATGAGGACAAGGGGATTCAAATGGACTAAGTAAAGACTGGGGTGGGAACTGAGAGCATGGAGACAATCAGAGCAGTGCTGAACATACTCTGGGACATCAAGCACTGCTGATAAACCCTTCAGACTAACACGACCTAAATTTATTAAAACTTGGCTATGTTGACCTGGAAACTTTCAATGAAATGGTTCTCTGAGAGATGATGTAATATAAAAACCCTTAAAGGTGACTTAAGAAGAATAGATGGGAACGCGGGTTTGAAGAAAGGAACTGGTCTGTTTCAAATGACTCTGTGGGCAGCCCGTCACCTCACGCGAGAGGGGTGGGGGTGTCTGATGGACGCATGTCGCAATGCAATCCAGGCACGAAATTGAAATCTGATGATGATGGGGCCATAGAACTTTATTAATCGCCAAAGGAAACTGCAAGAGAAGAATGTGATGATTTAAAGGCGAAACAAAAAACACTTAAACATTGATGAAAATCATGCAGCCCATAATAGCAGCTGCTGCCCACAATGCCAGACATATAACATAATATCTGAAATCCAGTGATTTCTTGAATTCATGAAATCATGCCAGCTATCACACTAAAGCACTGCTATATAACACATTGAGGACCCCTTGTAATTGAAATCAACTTACATGCAAACACAGCGGCAGCATGGTGATGCGGTGGTTGGTGCTGTTGCCTCACAACTCTGGGACCAGGGATTAAGTCTCCACCAGGGTTCCATGTGTGGTGCAGTTTGCATGTTCTCCCCATCTCCTGCTGGGGTTTCCTCTGCGCGCTCCTATTTTCCCCAAAAACTGCCTGAGGCTGATTGGAGTGACCAAATTGCCCATACTGCAGGTGTGCATGTGTGAGTGAATGGTGTGTACTTGTGCCCTGTGATGGGCAGGTGCCCCATCCTGGGTTGTTCCCTGCCTTGTGCCCTAACCCTAACCCTAACCCTAACCCATCCTGGGTTGTTCTCTGCCTTGTGCCTGTAGCCTCTGAAAGAGGCTCCAGACCCTGAACAGGACAAGTGTTTACAGAAAAAGGATGGATGCAAATGGAGATATCACGGTAGCCTGGCAGGTCCCCTCACCCAGATCGAAGTCATATCCTGAAGAACTAAACCCACTTGGGAGAAGAAACAATTAGCTTGTCAATCCACACACCCTCACTCCCTGCTCCAGAGAACCGATCAAACTGTTTGCCCCAACTCCACAGAGGTAAAATCACCATCACAGCAGGCTGACTTAGGCCCGGTAAGAAGGTAGCTTAGACCACAGCATGAAAGCTCAGTTTCAGGATGACAACACCTTTCGAAGATGTATTTAACCAATGAACCACCGCTTCCGTTTTGTGTTGCATGCACAACAGGAGGTACGTTCTTTTAGCACAACATCTTTCAAAAGAACATTCTAGGTGTGTCATTATATATTTTTAATTTCCCTTTCCAGAAAGAACCTGGTTGGTTTATGGGCACCTGATTGTTTTTTTTTGTTTTTTTTTTGGGGGGGGGTTAAGTCAATTGTACATCTTGGTAAAGCAAGAAAATAATGAACTGGAAGCGCTGGGTCTGTAGCAAGCTGAGCATGAAAATGCTGCCCACCACTAAAATTACTATCAGGAACGTACTTGGGGGTTTGAAGAGTATCTTCTGATAGGACAGCAGGAAGGAAGGACCATACAAGCTCTCTTACTTAAACAGGAAATTGCTGCTTTTTTGAGCGTGTTGCGCTGTATGTCATGTGACCACATATTCTTAGCTGCCCCACCATGTGCGGCCCTTAGTGTCGTCCTCCCCCAGATACGTCTGGCTTTGCCGGGAGACACAGATCTGGCAGGCAGGTGATGGGGGCGTGATGTGGGCAGATAAGTTGCCGCGGTTTCACAGCGGTCCCGTCCGTGCTGAAACGTTTGAAGTTTCGAGAACTCCCCGGAAGGTCGTGATGTTATGGTGTCTGTGATCTCCCCCTTCACCGCAGCCCTTTCTGGCAGTTTCCTGGAGTAATGGGTGGGATGCCAGCCCATTGCAGGCTATACACATTAATACACTGTGGGTAATCTAGAGAGACCACTTAGCCTAACTGCATGTCTCAGATTGAGAGGAGGACACTGGAGTAACCAGAGGACACCCACATATGGGGAGAATATGCAAACTGCTGAATTAAGATTTTTATTCACCTATTTTAGAATATTTTTTCCCGCCAATGTTACATGACCTTTGACCTAGAGCCCACCGGATCGCAAAGTGCTGAGTTCCTTTTTCTGAATAACAGAACAGTCCTGACAGCTACACAGCAGTGAGTAGTGAAGGGTAAGCATGTCCAGTGAGTTTGAAACAGAAGGACTGGAATGACTGGTTTGGTCAAATGAATCATGCAACATTCTCCTCCCCTTTGCATCTTAAACCTGAGCCATATTGTTGCAGGAAATGTTGAAAAGCATCACAGGAGAGAGCAAAAATCCCAAAGCTGTTCATAAAAATGACACCAGCAAGAAATACTGGAAACATTAAAATGTCATTTGGCTATTAAAAATTCGGGAAAAAATTACAATATAATTATAATGTAAATGTAAGATGTTCCTGCTTAATATCGCAGCAAAATGCTTAAATAGTTGAAAAGCTATGAACTTGTATTTTAAATCTCAGATGTTTACTAGAAGTGTTATAAAGAGATAAATACATTTTCCATGGCAACTTATCTAGTGTGTCACGGTGTCACGGTGACACTTTGAACACGATGCCACTTGAACAGAAGGCACATACCAGGGAATTTTTACAGAGACCAATTCATCTAACCACATCTGAACTGTAGAAGGAAACATAAAGCCAGTGTTTCCCAACTCAGTCCTCGGGAATCCCCAGACAGTCCACGTTTTTGCTTGGGAGCTGGGAGGGAGCAAAAATTTGGGCTGTCTGGCAAGGAGCTGGGAGGGAGCAAAAATGTGGTCCTATAACACTGCCCATGAGTCAGCATGCTAGCATCATGAGGAGATGGAAAGTGATACTGCTTTTTATTGGTGGTATGGTAGGCAAATGTTCTGTGAACTTGTGTGGTGAACTTTGATTACTCTTTTTATACCGTAACAAATAGATGTTTAGACCTTCACAACTGTGGCCTAGTTCCATGGCTCTGAAAATAAAACCATGACAAACTGATTTCTTTGGTGCGGAAAGGGAAAAAAAATAAGAATGAATACTGAATGATTCTGTCCCTATATTTGGAAACAGTCTCCATTCCGTTTCGGTTATGGTCTGTTGGTATAGAAAATGCACTCAATGATCATCCATCCATCTTCCAGTCACTTATCCAGTACAGGGCTGTGGAGCGCCAGGCTGTTCCAGGAGGCACATCACCGGGACACGCACACCAAGGGAGATCTTAAGACACTGTAAGGGGGAAGCTGGTTGCCCAGGGGGACGCCCACATGAGTGCAGAGAGAATAAGCGAATTTCACTCAAGCAAAGTTGGAGGTAGGATTAGACCTGTGAGCCCTGGAGGTGCCAGGCTGAACTACTCACCTCCACACCACCCTGTAAGAATCCGATTTCATGCTTTTCCCTAACCCCAATGATACTTATATAAGCCGATAAAAGCAAAACTGAGGGGTAATATACAAAGATCTCTGTTAATATCTACTGTGC